ACCGCTACCCACACTACACAGAAAGAAACCCTTACCACCACCAAGAGAGCTGTGCACTCCTGGAGATCGCTCGTGAATCCTGCTAAGGGCCAAACTCACAAGCCCAGGCGGAGCGCAGTGGCACGCCAGGCACAAAGCCATGTGGTTTCTCACTTGCCTCACTCACTTCTCAAACACTCCATCACACAGAATACAAAAATTTTACAGGCAAAGGAACTAAGGCTCAGAAATGATATTCCAAGCCACAGAGTTCATAAGTGACATAATTCTGAAAAACAAGACCAATGTTCTCCAGCCCATTTTCTGAATCTTCCCACATCCCGACCCAAGTGCCTGCACAGTTCAAACTCCAGCCCTGTCTGGGCACTGACTCCTCCTCAGAAAATGCTGCAGCAGACAGGTTGCCCCACCTGCTGCTGCGATGGTCCACAAATATTCTTTTTCACAACCTAGTCATCTGTAGAAACAATGACGACCATTCCCATCTCTAGGTGGCTGTCAAGTGATAACTCCTTCCTCAGTGTGACTGACAGTCCTCAGCTCCCTGTCAGCACCCAACCATGATGCTACAGTTGGGATTACCACACGTGCTACCACCATGGATGGGTAAAGGCAATAGAGGAACCAGCTCCAACATGGGAACAGGCCAGGTGGCTGCTGGTTAGCCCCATTGCCCACTGCCTCTGTAGGGAGTATGGACACAATAACAATAAAATAGGATGGGGTGGAGGGAACCCTGCCCAGAAGTACAGTGCCTTTGGAATTCAGAAGACATATTAAACAAACATGGCAGGTCTTGGGGGTGGAGGCTTATTTTGATCTGATTTCTAGGGTAGAAACCTCTGGTTCTGTTTCAAAGCCAGCGTGGCACGCACACACACACAGAGCAAGGGTAATTTTGTGCATACCAAGACGTGCCTGTGTATGGGGTTTAAGTCAAATATTTCTAGAGCTTTTCATTTAGTTTGCAGTATAAGTAACTCACCCAAGGTCACACTACTAGTTACTGTTAGACGCGTATGAGCTTCAGCTCATACAGGGTCAGAAGAACCCCAAAGCCATAGCAAGTGAGCGCTGGTGTGTATCTGTAGAGGGCCATGGTCAGCTGACTAGCCACTCCCTGGCAATGACCAAGCCACACCGAAGACAGGAGCAGGTACTGAATGAGAAGCTTTACTGGTCAAACAGGACTGTTGGGCACCCACTCACTTCAGCTTGCTAAATACCAGGAATCAGGGAGCAACACTTGAGCCTGAGCAGACTGCAGAAATCAGTGCAAGCTTCTGGGCCAGCCTTTACTAGTCACGTGACCTTGAGACAAACATGAACTTAATGCTCCTGTTGATAAAACAAGAAAAATCTGGGGCTGCTCTTCCAGAAGTCCCGAGTCAATACCCAAGAACACACTGCAGCTCACAACTGTGCAAAACTACAGAAGTCCTGAGTCAATTCCCAGGCACGCACTGTGGCTCACAACTGCATATAACTGATCGTTTCATGGGATCCAATGCTCTCTTCTTGTGTGCAGATAATACACCTATATATGTAAAATACAAAAATAAATAAACCTTAAAAACATGAAAATACGCTTTTATTGAAGGGGTTCTGTGAGGACAAAATGGCTAGCTCTGTGCTCACAATGACACAGTGTGTATCTCTCATCTGTAATCCAGAATCGTTCCCACTGCCTGCTAGGAAGAGTGGCTGCTCCTCACCTAGCGGAACTAACAGCTCCTAGGAGACCGAGCAAGAGCATTTCCAGCCGGAGGCCAGCCTTGCTTACACAGCAAGCACGACTCAAAAAGAAAAAGATCCCGGCTATTTTAATAACTTTATAAAGATAGTATACCATAATTTACCCCTTCATTACAATCAAGGTCATCACCAGAAATCAACTGCAAATACATTATATATGGGTGTATGTATATATATATATATATATATATATATAATTTATTGTTATTTTATTTTCATTGGTGTTTTGCACAATGTATGATGTCTGTGTGAAGGTGTCACAAGCCCTGGAAGTGGAGTTACAGACAGGTGTGAGCTGCCATGTGGGTGCTGGGAATTGAACCTAGGTCCTCTGGAAGGGCAGCCAGCACTCCCAACTGCTGAGCCCTCTCTCCAGCTTTGATCACAACTAATATAGTTCTTGCCCTCAAGAGGCCTGCGTTTGGCATTTCAGTAACAAAACAAGTAACTTTTACAAATACCCTAGAAAGTAGACACAGTTAATATGACTTTATAGGGGAGGGAATTGGAGTTCCAGTGGGGAGAGATGGAGTCAAGGACCCCTCCCACCGCCCGCCCCCTCAAAGACTTTGTTAACAGAAAAAGCCACTGCAGCAGTTTAAGCAAAAATCAAGAGCTTCCATGGGAAGGCATCCTGGCTGGGGAACAGCACAGGGGCCTAGGAAGGCTGGCACAGACTTTGTGTGGTCTGTCTGGGGAGCAGACGCCCTCTGCAGAGCTCCAGGTGACAGAGAAAGGGGCACCTGAGACAGCCTAGATCAGACTTGCCAGGAGGTGACGCGCCATGCTTCAAACAGTGAGTCTTTAACAGGGACATGAGGAGACTTAGCCAGGAGAGGGTGCCTGTGCCTCCCTCAACAGAGGGACTCTTTGTTCTGACTAATATAATAAATTTGGAGAAATACAAGGTTCTATTCAGCAAGCCCTTTACCCACTTGCAAACAAAGAAACAAAACCTTCCTTTTGCAGTTGGTAATTTGTTATCAAATCTCAGTCCGTCAATCTGACTGAAGCTGGAGAAGATCACTCATACCCACTCCAATTTCACAAAGTTATTAATCCCTTTCTCCAGGCCAAAAGATTAACCCACCCCAGATCACCTCAACACATTCCAAGTTCTTCAAGGGGGAAAAGGTCAGCCAGAAGAGGCTCGTTTATCTCCCCAACTCTACTTGTACCTGGATGAACACAGGTGGGCTGCTGTTTGTATGAGGCAGGGTCTTGATATTTACCTGACTGGTTCAGAACCTGTTAGGTAGAACGGGTTGGCCTCTAATTTAGAGATCTGCCTGACTCTTCCTCCCTAGGGCTCAGATTAAAGGCCTGCACAGCATGACTATCAGCAAACAGCATTATAAACAAGTTGTCTAGGCAGGTGCTTGCAACTTTAGCACGTAGGGGGCTGAAGCAGGCTCACAGTGAATTCAAGGTACACCTGGGCAACAGAGGGTCAAAAGCTGGGCCCTTAGAAACTGACACGCAAAAAATTCAAAACAAACAGGAAAAAAGCAGAACACTCAACTTGGAGATGTTATTCCATCATCTGTAAATTTAAAGAGAAAAACCAAAAATCTGTCCAAATGCATTTTAGATTTTCCAAAGGACAGCTGTGTCTAATCCCCAAGCAACTTGATTGGTGTTCAGACTGAAACCTGATGAGCTGCAGCCAACCACCAGCACAAGTTCCAAAACCAGATACCCCACCCCCATCTCTTCAGCTGCCCTGGGAGCCTTTCGATAGCAGGGAGCTGCTTTTTAAAACAATGGGAGTGTTCCTAGTTCAGAGGACTTTGGAAAGACTTTCAGCATTTTGCAAGAGAATCAACTTTAGTCTACTCAAATGCTCTAGAAGAGGCGCTCACTGCTTATCAACCTTGAGGTAAGTTTAAACCACTTTATAACGTGGAGTCTGCTGATTAGGTCCTGACCTAAAACTCTGGGGAAAAGAAACTGCTCACGTTTTTCTCAAGGCACCACACTAGGCAGGAAAACAGCTTCTCCACACACTGACTTCATCTCAATAATGATAAGGTTTTTATCATTTCAAAAAATCAAGGCTGAGTCAAACACCTAAAACCAGAGATGGTAAGGGTTGGTCTGTCCCAAACAGCCCCCCTGCTTTCCCTAACTTTGGGTTCAGTATGGTATCAGCCTGTGTACACTTCCTGGCTCCTGGCCCTCCCTAGATCAGCATCCCTACATCCTTGAGCACTGCACAGAGATGTAAAGTCCAAAGGATAGGTTTCCTAGACCGGGTAACTGAATCACCACCATGTCATAATTCAGAAGTCCAGTAGAGGGGAGTTAGTGGGCACAGCGCACAGAATTTCCATCGACTTAGTCATCCTGATGTGGTTTAATTAGTACCCCTCCGTAGACATCACCAAACACACACCCACTGTTTCCAATGAGAAAACTAGACACACAAACAGTAGTGACACACCCATGCCCAAATTGGCCACAGCAAGGAAAAGCCAGATGAGGGAAGTCACTACACTGTTCCAGGTGTCGTCCTGTCCCTAGCTAATTGTGGGCCTACTGCGTCTGTGGGCCTCAGTTTCCTGAAACTTTATAACGTACGTGATAAGAGGCAAACCACACTCTTTACATCAGGCTGATTCACTTCAAGTACTCAATTTGGTGTCTGAGTTCTGTTCTCCGCCTCCACCGTCTGGAGACAAGGAGTGATAATGCAATAAGAGCTATGTAAACTTCAGAGTCGATGTGCATGTAGAATTTGTTTTGTCTAAAATGGATAAAAACAAGCAAAGTCCCTCTTTTCTGCACCCATTGTCCCTCCAATCTCACTTCCTAAATCAGGTGACCACAGCTGGGATGAGCTCAAAGCTGGCCAAATAGCGTCCCCCGCTGTCACCTCTCCCAGACCACAGGGCAGCGTGAGGGTAGACCGACACAGGAGAAAGCGACCTCCGCGGCTGCACCCGCAGACCAACTTCCCCACGCCTGCGCCCGGGGTCTCCAGAGCCGCCGCACGGCCCAGCCCGCCCGCTCGCCCGCCCACCCGCCCGGGGCTCTGGAAGCCGCTCACCTGCGCAGGGCACAGAAGCAGCAGGAGGAGGCCGAGGGCCGGGAGGCGCGTGCTCATGCTGTCACCGCGCGGGGCTACGGACCTCTGTGGGGCTCGCTATGTCCACGAACCGAGCTCCAGAGCACTGGCTGGGCGGTTTCAGGACAGGCGCCTGATCAAGGAGGGGGGGGGGGGCAGACGCAGGCGGCGGGCTGCGCGCGCAAGTCAGGAAGGACGGAGGCGGTGTCGGCTGCCGCCACTCCGAACCCCCCAGGAGGCGGGGTTAAGCGTTCAGGGGCGGGGCTTAGAACACAGAGCGGGGCGGAGCCTTGGTTGAGTCACGCTGCCAGCCACCTCTGCCGGACCCTCTATGCTCCGTCCTCGGTGGATCTGCACAGCCCTGCTGCCTGGGGACTCTTAGAGCGCAGGTCTCAGTACCCATCGCCAAAGTCACGCTGGCTCGCGCCCTCCCCGGGAACTAGTCCAGCTCTTTTGTGCTGCGCCGTCCCTGCGCGCCCCTCGGGCTGGGATCTCTCACACCTGGGAAGCTGCACTTTTAAAATCCATCCTGGGATGGTGCTCTGGATTTAATCCAACCACCTCTGACTTTGATGTTTTAATTTACTGCTCCTTCTTTTTTCCTCCTGGGTTGGAGAGGTTGGGCGAGGGTTTAGCACGTACTACTTTGAGGGAATTTTCCTAATTAAGAAGCCGTTCCTCGGATCACTGAAACTTTTCAAACTTATTTATAAATTTATAAGATACTGATTTATTCTTGGTTTTTCGAGATAGAGTTTCTCTGTATAACAGTCTTCAACCTCTCTTTCTTTAGGCCCGGATAAGTACTCTGATCAACTCTTCTAGTCCCAGTTACCCAAAAGGATCCCTTGCTGTCGCATCTTCTAGCCAACTGGGGCTCTTCAGAGCGGTGGCCTGACCCTGTTGGGATCTGATTACTCAGTTAACTCAGACCAGGTTTGAGAGCGCACTAAATCGCACCACCTACCGGCCAAGGCGCGTCTAGCAGTGAACCCATGCTGATGGTGGAAATATAAAATACACGAAAATTTAAAGACAAGAATATTTTTAAAAAATCACCTATAATTCCACCATGATGGTCGGTCTATGTTACACTGTGCTTTATTTTATCTTATGAGTTTTTTTCTTGGTGAAAATTATTTCAACATGGTTGAGACCCAAACAGAGGCTTTTTGTTTGCATAATACCACCACTTTCCCTTCCGTAAACCTTCTTACATTCCCCAGCTTGTCTAGACTCCATGAAGCCTGCCTCTTCCTGGACTCTCTGCTTCCCCGTGGCACTGCAGTACAATAGCATGGAAGCTGCTGCTGATTTTCCTCATGAAGAGAGAAAGAGGGAGGGGTGACCAGAATTCCCAGAAAGCAACTGCAAGGCTTCCGCAAGGCTGATTGACTGGTGAGCACTTCTGTGTTTGTGCAGAGCCAGAATAATGCAGGTCCAGGGTCAAGTTATTTCAGTCCCCCTACACACCATCCAACTCGTGTTTGACCTTACTCCTCATGACTGTTAGGTAAATCTCTTTGAAATGTACGAGAGCCCTATCTTCCACCCATCCAAAGGCTAAGAGTATTAAGAGCTAACATCTGAGGCAGCTATACAGAGGCTTCCTGGCTTTGCTGTGATTTGTCTATCTTTAACATGTGCCTTTATTATTCCTTGCTCTGTTTTGTTCATGAAACTGCTACCACATGGGCACAGTGTATTTGGGGCACCTGAACCTGTATTCCTGGACCATGGTCACTGTGTGTGTGTGTGTGTGTGTGACCCAAGCCAAAATTCTGTTTCCTTGGCAGATGAAAGAAGGCCTGAAATGTCTATGCTAATAGCTTGTGATCCCATTGGAGTTCCTATTGGCACTTGCAATAGGAAAGAATGACACAATACTCAAATTTGTGTAATCTTCTGAAGAAAACAGAAGTTATCTCCTGTGCTGGAGGGTTGAACCCAGAGCTTTGGACATGCCAAGCAAATGCTCTACCACTGGACTGCATTCCCAGAGCCAAAGCAATGGTCTGCTCTGTCCCCTTTAAGAGACAAGCCATACCTACTACCTCCCCTGTCTGCTGAGACAGGCTGATCTTCAGCTTCCAGCCTGAGCCCCTTCTTTTCCATCTCCCTCTCAAAGAGGCAGCTTCTGTTTCCCCCTTCTCCCCACTTCTCCCCTTCCCTTCCATAACTCACTAAATAAATATCCAACCTCACTCCGCACGGTGTGCCTATCCATCTTGGTCTCTTACCCGCCACACAGCTTCCTGCCTGGGACCCGGCTGCCATCACGGCCTGCCGTGGTCTCAGGACCTGCTGCCCGCTGCAGCCACTCGGGGACCTGCAGCATTTTTACTTTTACCATTACAGAGACAGGCTCTCAGTAGGTTGTCTGGCTTGCCCTCAAATTTATAATACTCCTGCCTCAGCCTCCTACTAGATGGGATTGCAGGCATATGGCAACATGCCTTGTAGATTTTTTTTATTTTTTAATCAAAGAAAATATGCATTTAAATTTTTATTGTTGTTAAGCTGCTTTCCAAAGAAGTTTCAGGCTAACCCTTTGTCAGCAACACATGGAAATTACTGATTCCCTGCTCCTTCACCAAGACCTCCATTCTGATCAGTGAAATATAGAATCTGTAATTTATTTTATTTCTTGTTTTTTTAAATGTCCATGTGATTTAATTTGTATTCTTTTAATTATAAGAATAAACTCTACCTATTTGTAAGTGACTTTTCTGTATACTTTTATTAGATATATTTATTTTTCATATATTTTGTAAAACCTTGTATACAGAAACATATATAGAAATAAATATATGCATGTGTGTTCTTGTATTTCTGCACATATGTTGTGTATGAAGGCTAGAGGTTTTCCTCAGATGTAATTCGTCTTATGTGGGGTTTTTTGTTTGTTTGTTTGGTTGGTTTTTTTTTTTTTTTTGCTTTTTTGTTTGTTTAGTTTTGTTTTTCGAGACAGGGTTTCTTTGTGAAACTGTCCTAGCTTTCCTGGAACTAGCTCTTGTAGACCAGGCTGGCATCAAACTCACAGAGATTCGCCTGTCTCTGCCTCCCGAGTGCTGGGAGTAAAGGCGTGTGCCACCATTGACCGACAATCTTGTATGCTTTTAAAAAAGACTTATTAATTTTTATTTTCTGTATATGAGTGTTTTGCTTGCATGTATATCTGTGCCCATGTGAGTACCTGGTGCCCATGAAGGTCATAAGAAGACACTAGATCCCCTAGAACTGGAGTTACAGACACCTGCAAGCCACTATGTGGGTGCTGGGACCCAAACTTTGGTCCCTGGAAGAGCAGCAAGTGCTCTTACCCACTGGCTGAGCTATCCCCTGTCCCAGAGATTCCTTTATGATGTGAGCCATAAGTACTATTCAGCAGAAGTGCAGCTGACAGATCACTAGACAGATTCACAGGAGTGCACTGTAATGAACAACCTGATTTGCAGAGCCTCGGGAACACTTGTCATTGGGACAGTCGCGGTCAATTCTGTAGACATCTTGTGAAATCATGATGTTTCTCCCTTCTACAATGGGACTCCCCCGCCCCCTCCAAAACATCCTAGCAGTGTATACATCATTCTTTAAACCTGACTTTTCTTGTACAGCAACTGGATGACTTCTTCCACACTATGGGGCCCTGGTGTGAGAGCATTCACTCTGTCAACCCTTTGTTGTCATGGTCAAATCTCCATAAAGCCAGTCCCTCACAGTTATCCTTATTGACAGGGCTCATTGTCAAGAAAGGAGCCCTGACCAGGAGGCACTGAGCAGAGAAGACAGTGTGTCTGCTCTTACTGATAAATCGGTCTGGATGGCCCTGAATTCTATAGCAGCAGACTGAGGAAGGGATAATCTACTGGCCTTTGCTCTACCCTAGCAAGCTATTAATATTCTGTACTTACCTTCACCTTTCATTTGACACAAGGTCTTAGTCTAGGAAGTTAACTGTTTGTACCCTTACCCCTAAAATATACAGAGGAAAAGCTTGAGTCACTACACCAGCCCCAGAGAAGGAAATTCTTTCTCACCTGGGTGCCAGCGAATACAGCACCAGGATGCTTATCCCAGAGGGGCAAGTTCCATCCTAATCCTCCTGGTATTTGCTGGGGAGCTTCACAGCCATACCCCTTCTGAGACATAAGGCGCTTACCTTGTCAGTCTTTTGTCCATCCTGTTAGCCCTAAAAAAATGCATCTTGATACTATTGCTATCACCTATAGAATTGCGAACTATCTCTGTATGTGTATATAAACTAAAAACCTTGTTGGATGAGTAGAACAGTGAAGAGGAACACTGAGGAACATTGAAAGGGAAAAATCAAGAAAGCATTAGAGAGAGCACAGAAGAATAAATGGGACGTGATAAACAGATTTAGTGAGCTAATTTATTTTATTTACCCTCAGATAATTTTTGCCTGCTAATAGCAATCCCACTGAATCCTGAGAAGTTTAGTGGGGCTTAACCCTAACAATAACCTCAATGATTTTTTAAAATGTATATGCTTCTGGGTCTGTATGTGGATATGTGCACATGAATACAGGTTCCTGTAGAGGCTGGAAGGAGCTGTGACCGCTGTAGCTGGAGATACAGGGGTTGTGAACTGCCCAAATAGGTGCTGGCAGCTAAACTTCAACCCTCTGCAAGAGCAGCAAGTGCTCTCCAGACTCTGCCTTGTTTCCCACCTGGGGCTGAGAGCCTGGGGCTCACCAGTTAGGCTGGGCTAGGTGGCTGCCTGTCTTTCCCTCCCCACTACTGGGGTTATAAGCATATGCCACCACTGTTAATGTCTTTACATTTGCTCTGGAAACTGAACTCACATCTGCATGCTTACAAGGCAAGCACTTTGCTGGCTGAGTTATCTCCAGTCCCCTGCAAAAGGTTGTTATTAAGAAAATTATTTTATGATATGTGTTGCTGACACCTTCCTCTCCTGGGCTACTTATTTGTCTAAGCCACACCTCCTAATAGTGCCACTCCTTATGAGCTTATGGGGGTCAATTACATTCAAACTACTACACTCTTTTGCCGGAAGCAAAGACCTGTATTTTGAGATCTGCGTTTTGTTTACAGCCATCTTAATCTCACAAGTTAAGAAAAATATTTACCTCTATCGCCTCTGTAGGGTCTAGGAAGGGCATCTTATCTCCTAGCAGAGACCTGCAGGAACCAGGCTCCGGAATCAGTTAGCATTTTCCTTTGTTAGTCAACAATCACAGACCCTCAGTATTTACTTATCAGCTGGGGATGTCTCCAGACCTGAATTCCAGCAGACCTTAGTTTCCTGACACCCTTCCCTCCCCTCTAACACCTTTCCTTTCTCCCCTTTGCCCATTTGCTATATAACAGCTTCTGAGGAAATAAACTGGACGGCTTGGTCAGAAATCCTGTCTTCCGTCATTTCTTGTGTCTCCTGCCCCTCCATTCCTCTCCTCTAGGTTTACCAGGGATCCCCATTGGCATCCTGCTGGCTGGGATACTCTTTACCTCAGTCTGGGATCCCAGCACGTGAGGTTTCTTACATTCAGGGTGGGTTTTCCATTATTAGTTAAATCTCTGGAAACACCCTCACAGACAGAGCCACAAGTGTGTCTCCATGTGTTTCAAGTCCCGTCAGGCTGACAGTGAAGACCAACTACCACTGTCCACCAAGGATGGGGGTTTTTACACTCCAGAAGCTCCATGAATCCTGGTCCCCAAACCATCAGAACCCATTACCACCCGAGATGCAACCCCAGCGGTCACTATGCATTGCCTTTGCTTTTCTTGAACTTCATGTAAATTCAATTGTAGTTCTTTTATGTAATGTCTTTCACTCCACATTTTGTTTAAGGCTATGTGTGAGGTAACTTTACTGGAAGTAAGAAGGATACATATCAGAACTGATGTAGGGGGAGTATTCAGATTGAGGTAGAGTTGAGAGCCAGTGGCTGGCTGTTTTGCTTTTCTGACCTTCGGGTTGAACCACACTTTCTCTCTCTGAGTTTTTATTAATTGTTCTACACACAGAGGAATGTGTTATGTGAGTGGTGGAAGGTACACCCCTGTCCATTGTTGGATTATCAGACTTTAGCATCCTTAAGGAAATAAACAAAATTTTGCCCTGTCTGGTTTCTGAGTCAGTCATAGCTACTGACACTGAAGTCATGTGTTGTAGCTGTAAGCTGTTCTAAGTGAGATGTCAGTAAAATTCAGCTTGCTTAAGTAGGAGCTTTAAAAAGTCTTGATGAACACGCGGCTGGAGAGCTAGCTCAGCAGTTAAGAACACTTGTTGCTCTTGCAGAGCATCCTGGTTCAATTCCCAGTACCCACATGGATAACTCCAGTTCCAGGGGCTCCAACAACCTCTTCTGGTCTCCGCATGCACCAGGCATGCTTGTGGCACATACACATACGTGGACAAAACACTCGTACATATATAACATTTTATTTTAAATCTAAAAAGTCTAATTGCAGAAACCCAAAGAATTGAGACTATATGTTGAATGTAAACGTGTCCAGAATGCTCATGGTATGCGGTTGAATGTAGACAGGTTCAGAATGCTCATGCATGTGGGCATCGTGGAGCATATTTGTAGTCACAGCAACAAGAGGAGCAGGAGCCCCAGGAGTTAAGGCTACCCAAGGCTGAGGCCAGCTTCTGCTGGGGTTATAAGGAAAAGAGGCCTATTTAGTCACTGTTTGGAGACTCCAAGTCCCAGATTGACAGTCCTGTCTACTTAGGTCATGGTGAGAGCTTTCTGGTTATATGAAAATATGGCAGGTAGCATCACATAGAGTTGCACACAAGCGCATTACAGTGTGTCCTGAGGAAGAGATCAAGAGAGGAAGAAAGACTGGAAGGAGGTAGCCCCACCTTTTTTTCTACTGAAAACTAATCTACTCCTAGGAGGTCCAACCCACACATGAGACCAACACTTAAGTGTCCATGAGGGTGCTCATGAGCCTGTCACCTCGTAATATGTTCTAGCCCCTTAGGCATCCTACAGACTCAACCCTGATGTGTTGAGGGATTAAGCATCAATGTGAATTTTGGTGGCAGCAGACCACATTCAAAACATAGAACATCATACCTGTTTTCTGTTTTTTTTTTTCTGG